GACCGCTGGCGACACGCAGAGAGGACTGCTCCTCCCCGTGCCCGCCGGTGGTAGCAGTCACGCTTCCCACCGACGTTTGGGTTGACATCCCAACCCGTGCTTGCTCCTTCTTCGACTCCATAGTTGGCCCGAGGGTCCATACTGGTTAATATTTTTCGGGGGGACCACCCCCTAGCGTTTTAGGCCTGACCGCCAGGCACCTCTAGCCATGGCCCTGGTTCGGTTCCCCCGACTTTGAATCGGGAAGACGCCGGACCATAGCCTTAGCTAGACACTGCATTACCCCGGACAGAGCAAGCGACAGTGCATTTCCCTTGTCCGGGGTAATGCAGTGTCCATTGCCCAGCCGGAACCCTCGTGGAGGGTTCAGCTAGAGGATTTTCGCCAGCCGATTTGTCATGATAGTACTGCGGATTTTCGGGAGTCCCGAAATACTTCCGTTAATTTCGACCGGGGCAGATACAACTGTTGCTCTAGTATTCGTTCTGCAACAAAGACGCCGCACCAAAGCGAATTCAACTGGAAAATCTTCTACATATTGTTCGGAAAATTTATGGGATGAGCACCATTAATGTCTATTTTACACGGTTTTTTAGGAACCAATACCGTGTAAAAACAGAATTTGGAAAAATACCCAAATACTTCTTGAGTACCGGGTATAAAAATGTATATATGGATGTATGTAAGTACATTGAGCTTGCTCTTATTTGTATGGGCGAAAAGCCCGATTCGACAATGTTTAGAGGTGCCAACTTGAGGTCAAAGTTAAAAAATACGATATTTGGCCAATGGTTCCTATGGCAGCTATACTATATATCGCTCTGATCGGATTGAATTTTTTTTGTGATTTAGAATATTATAATATAATAATTCAGCTCCCAAAATTTGATCTCGGCTTCTTAATATTTAAGCCAACAATAAATAGTTAACATTCAACTTTTCAAACAAATGTGCACTAATGTGACTGAATTATCGAGTTGCCAACCTCGTCTACCCATAATGCTGTCGGAAAGGGAAACAAAATGGGGAATAGTTGATATGTGAGGACCCATACTGGGAGCCTCACATAGTAACGAGAGCTAATTGATTAAGAAGACAGCCCGAAAATATAGTAAATCGCAATGGAGCGAGATTTGTATCAGTTAAAATCATCTTCTATGGTAGTAAATAAGCTAGTTAAGTTTTGCATAGCCGAAATCCCGCCAAACGGCCAGCTCACACAGAATAGCCTCAAAGAGAACAGCGAGGAGAGAGAGCCATGCTCGGCCGGCAACAGAGCGGATCTCTTTCGAGAAAGTCCCGTTGGCCCGAAAACGAGCGCAAGGCGTGGTGAGAGCCTCGAGCGACCGTTGCAAGAGCGAGGAGTCGATTTTCAGAAGCGAGCGAAGACAGAACGCCGCGGACAGTGAATAGAGAAGCAAAAAGTGTTGAACGGCCGGGCGCCCAAGAAGAGAGGAAGAATGGACGAGCTGCAGGAATACAGACGCCGGATCCGCGGGTGAGCTGGCCGATGGCCAAGGCCATCAGGCCAATAAACTTCGATCGTATGACTAAGAATTCTTTCGCTTCCATTTGCTTTCCCCGGTCGGACCACCGACTGCGGTCATCTCTCCCCCTTCCCCTTCCGTTTTCCTGACCGTTCTCGGCCCCCGCGCTCCCGCTCTGACTCTGGCAACAGGGTTTTACCCTGCTGGAGTGAGAAGCGGTAGGCGTTCTCTTCCTTCCTCTTCCTCACCGGACCCGCGGCTCACCTCGACCTTGGCAACAGGAGTTTTTACCCTGCTGAGGGCGGGGTGTGCAGCGGCCCCTGGCGAGTTTCGCCCCGCCCGGCCCAACGCCCGCTCCCCTCACCACAGCCCCCCACCATAATTTCTCCCGAATGCCCCGTCGTTGACGACGGCTCGGCGATCCATGCGCCCACGACCCGTCTCAACGTCTCAGCAACTTACAAATAAACTGTAGGTGACCCTGGGCAGACTGAGACTGACCCCAGCCTAGGATCACCACTTTACAGATAAAATCAAAGATTAACAATACATATATTTTTTAAGAGGAGTTTAAGTTGACAACTCGAGAAGAAAAATATTTGCGCGACGTTTCTATTCATACCCGACAGTCAAAATGAGTAGAGGCGTAAATTAGATTTTCGGTGATAGGGGATGTGTGTAACATCCAGAAGGAATCGTTTCCGACCACATAATGTATACATATTCTTGATCAGCATCAATAGCCGTCCCTATGAGTGCCTAGTGTTCAGAGACTATAAGATTTAGAGCAACAAAATTTTGTATCCAGACTTCTGGGATATCGGACCTTGACAAGTTTATTTCAAAATTTTGTCACACCCCCTTCCGACCACGTAATGGACGAAAATCTGGGGGTATCCACAAATCTCAGAGACTATTAACGCTAGAGTAACAAAATTTGGTATCCACACTCCTGTTAGATCTCACTATAAAAAGTATATCTTAGAATTTCGCCCCATCCTCTTCCGCCCCCACAAAGGACGAAAATCTGTTGCATTCACAATATTGATGAAAGGAAAAAACGCACAATCATAGAGAATGACCATATCTATCAGGTTGCCGAATCTGGATTAGATCGGATGATTTTTATAACCAAAAGGAACAAATCAATTTGTAGTGGCTACGCAGCGCCCGACGACACGCTCAGACTGATTTTCTGTTTCTCTCGCACGCACTCTTTGTCGTGTCGTTTAATATTAACTAAGTATCGGGTATAAATGTAGAGTTGGTTTCGGTCAACATAAGCTGTTGAAGCTCCAAATGTGGACTTTCAATTTATATGCGAAATGTATAACTGTAAAGAATTTGATCCAAAAATTCAAACATAATTTTAGTAGTATACTAGAATATACACTAGTCAACCACGCACAACACTTTTTTTGTGGGGCTGTATAATTTATAAAGAACAACAATAAGACCTCAATAAAACAAATTTGTTGTTCCAGCTTTTATAGTTCCTATGATCTCGGTGCTCAATTGGAGCGACATGCAAAGCAAAATACAAATATAAATAGTTAATATCTTCCAAAAAACCCAAAAAATTGAAGCTTTGTGGAAATGTTCTGTTAATGCAGAAACATTGAAATGCATTTTCAGCTCAATCCATTGCTGTAAAATTCGTTTGACTGCATGATTAATTGAAATCCAGCGATTGTCGCCAACATAGGGTTTTTGAGAGGGCAAATATTCACTACTATTTTATATGGTAAATGAGTTAATGAAGCTCACTTTACTTCATCATTATAAGCAATTTGCTTACTGAAGCTTTTGCAGAACCATGCGTACGACTCGCTTACAAAAAATTTAATCAATTATGGATAATTCTTCTTTCAAAGCGCCTATTTAAAATTAGCGACGACATAGACTTTTTAACTAAGCATAAACACCACTAATATTTTTTTACCCACCATAACATTACCATTACCAGTTACATTTTGGGTTGATATTTCTAGTTGAGATAACTCTGTTAGAAGTAAATTTTAAATTTAATTTCAGAGTTAATACAAATGTTTTAACAATATAAATTAATTTGTTATCATTATAATTAGAGCTATGTAATTTTTCTTACTTAGAATCTGAGAAACGCTGCATCAATTAAGACATTATTTTTCATCGCCAGTAGCATTTCGTAGACCCTCGTTGAAGTGGTCTTATTTACGTTAGTGCATTTTGTCCGATCTAATTGATATTAGTGCCGCCGGGCAATAAACATTGCTAGCCTTACTTCCTGGCGACAAACTTAATTGGTTTCAACAGGCTGAATATTTAATTTTATTTGCTTGAGCGAATGGCAATGCAATGCAATTTGCATCGCCTTTGTCGCGACACATCCAGATCCTTAAATCTTTTACTATTTAAAAAAATAAAATAAAAGGGTGACTAGCTCATATGTTTTTGGAGAAGGGCACAAAAGAGACGCTCTGATGCCAAACGAGTATCGGTAACACTATCGATATCAGTAAGCATGTATACATGCGATGCCACATTGTTGAAATTGGATCAAATTTACAACAAAACAGACAGAAAGATATCAAATCAAACTTAAAGCGAAATAGATATCCAGATGTCTGAAGCAGTTAAAAAAAACAGATATTTCCGGAAAATGTCATCAATAAATCATTTCCGAGACTACGAACCAAACTAGCTTATTTTAATCCGCAGTGCTCGCAATTGGTTTTAAGGGATTCGAGTCTGACTGAAGGCAGGATTTGTACTGATCGAAAGCATTAAAGTAGCAACGACATACATACATATGTAGCTGTGATTTTATGAATACTGTGGATTCATGGAGAGCTTTAATAGAACAACAGATTCCCAGTTTAGTCCTGCGTATTTCACATATACTTACATTGTACATACATATGTAAATTCCTAACGCTATAGTTAGGAATAATGCGATAGTCATATGTACATATTTATGTGCTTTCAAGCCATATAATTTACTACATACATATGTACATATGTGAAACGTCCTAACGTCCCAAGAGCTAAATACAAATACAAAATACCGAAACTCCTGGCAGATGTAATGAACAACGTAATAAAACGGATGGAATGAATCTATCTTTTAAACATTTATTAGAAATTAAAACATCTGGTCAAAATAATAATACCGTCTAAGTGCTTCGATTTTTGTTGTACGTATACATATACTTATTCATATACATATACGTACATGCATATATTTATACGTCATTACTTTCAAAGATCATAGTCAATGTACCAACAGAGCAGCCTGCAACATGTTGCACAACGGGAAAAACGAGCATAAACGTTGTCAGCTGCAGAAAGGGCCGCGGCTTTACTTTTATACATGGTACTCCAGCGTTTTTTGTATTCAAAATTGCAGATGCCACAGATTTTCGTCCTTTGGGGTGTCGAAAGAGGCGTGGAAGTCTCTGAGATTTAGGCACTCATCGGGACTGACGGACAGACAGACATATCTATGTACATATGTATGTATATCGACTCGGCTATTGATGCTGATAAAAAATATACATATGTATGTACATACTTCGTGGAATCGGAAACTCTTCCTTCTAGGCGTAACACACACCGACATTCATCACAAAACTAATATAGCCCTAAACTCTGCGAGTACCAGGTATAACAAACTTTCTTTCAACTGGTGGTGGTTGGTTTTACAGCAACATTTCGACCCTGCCTGTGTTTGGATACCACGAAAGACTTCAATGCCGAACGAGTTGTGTGTTGTGTTCGAACTTGCGTTGAGGGTGGACTCTCCTCCGGTCCTCGTCGTGTGCTTTATTCTTCCGAGATTCCTTCGTGCTTGATACGGTTGTGGTTGATTACATACATACATACATATATACATACTTTTTACAAATCCAGTTCTCGTTTTGTTGTGTATGTCTATAACTAAGTGTGTAATGTATGAATATAACGAGTGCAATATACTTCAAATTATGTTTATGCTGGAGAAATAGCTTATTTCAGTGTCTATATGTATGTACACAAACAAACCAATTTACATTATTTTTACAAATCCATTCATTTATGCATAGTTAAAAATGTACGTCCGAAGCAAGCTGAAAGCATCCAATTAGTGAAACATTTCATTAAAAATAAATACCTACATATGTATGTATGTTCGGTACTATTCAGTTCTTATGCACACATACGTACATATATATGTATTTAAATAATATTAATGTTCATACATATTTAGATAAAAGTGCAGGATTTTTGTTACACTGGATGTAAACAATTGTTTGTATGTATTTTATTGTATTTGTATTTGTATTGTACAATGTATGTATGTATTTTCATGCATGTATAATCAGCAGGGTCTAATATATTGTGCATATACATACATACATATGTAACTATAAAACACATTGCGCTTATTTTAATAATTTTTGGATCATCAATTATGTATACACATACATATGTAAATACTTCTGCACATTCAAATGTACATATGTACATATTTACCCTGTTCGTATATGTGTACGCACATGCGTTTCAGCCTATTGCTGTTGTAAACGAAAAAATTTGTATTTTCCTTTTAATTGATGATTTGTAACTAAATAAATTTGCATACGTTTATATGAAATTCAATATTTATATATGTTTGTCATCTACATATATAACGAAAATAATTCACTTTTCTCTGCATATGAGATATATGCATGTACATAAATACTACAAAATTAAGAAAAATCTGTCTGCTTATGTATATACATACATATATGCATACATATGTATGTAAATGGCGGGTGGACATAAACAAACATCAATAAAACGCACATTGCCGTCTTCATTCATCAAAAGAAAGATTTATATCGGTATGTAATGTACTTACATATATGTATATTATATACATATATATCTATATATATATATATATATATATATAAAGAAAATATCCAAATATTTATTTCCATATTTATATGTCTGTAAATGCATGTAAATTTGCATTCATATACTAGTACGTATGTACATACATACATATGTATGTACAGTGGCTCATAGCTTAAATGAACCAGAGCACGTTTTTACTCTCAAAAGTGCTATATGTAACTTCTAAACCAACTAAAAATCAAATGTACATTCTATTTTTAGTGGTAGGTTAGGTGGTTTAGAAGTTATAACACTTTTAAGTGTGAAAAGTGTTCTGGTTCATTTAAGCTATGAGCCACTGTACATATGTAAATTTATATTCGTATATGTCTATTCCTTTATATATCCTTTTTTTACATACATATGTAAAAATAAAGCGTTTTGTTTTGGTTTTGTGTGTCTGAATGTACACATCTACATATATATGTACATACATACATACATATTTCTTGTTTGTAACCAGGAGCAATTATATTTAAGGTGGTCTGATATGTTGCAGGGTCATTATTTAGTTTCGGAAAACCGCAGAATACTTACAAATTAAACAGTTCGCGTAGATGTACATATGTACATACATATGTATGTAACATCCAGGATGTGTGATATCACACAGAATCTAGCTCGTTTTCCAAAATTGCCACTACCCCCAATTGGCAATAATCTGAAAAAAAAACACAATTTTGAAGATACGAGAATGACAAAAACAGATAATCATAAAAATCTCTCTCACACACACTCTTCCTCGTGTAGTTCCGACCCTCTGGAGAAGTGATCGAGATATAATAGCCGATTGGTAATTTGTTGGAGTAAAGAGCGAGACTGACAGCCCAGCTACAGTGCCGTTTGTTTCTTATCGAAACGGAACATCGCAGAATAGGCGTTTACAATGGCAACCGTAGGTTACAGCGTTATTAGAACTGCTGATTTGTCTTTAAATAAAGGAAAGAAACCAAAGTTTAGAAAAAAAACAAAATGAATTAAAAAAAAAAAACAACAAGAAAATGCACATAAAGGACTCCATTATCTTATCTGCGGTGGAGCAACATAAAGAACCGGTTTTAATATTCATGGATTTGACAGAATGTCTGCAACAACATTGTCTGTCCAATCACTGGACAAACTGCAACGTCCTCGAAGCGTATGGAATCTTATACAGCTCATTATTTTTTTTCATTTAGAATCATGGCGGCTGGGGCAGGATATAATTGGTTTTAAGGATTTTTGGCGTCGTACAAGAATATAGATAAGGAATGATATTGCGATAGGTTATGGGTGAATTGTGCTATTTGATATGTTAGGGTACTCAGGTATTAATTTATTTATGTATTAATTAACAAATTATCTGTTAATGATGGTACTTAGTTACTAAAGGCGGAAAAAGATAAGTTAAAAGTTAGCTCAATTTAAATGATTATAAATATTGCATGCAATTAGTTTAAGAGACAGTTCAGGGGATAGGGTTTGACAGAGGGAGTTATAATTATGGCATAAAACCCTAAAAGGTTCATGATCAGCATAGTTAGACCTACATATGGGTAGACGGATAGGCCTAAAAGTACGGGTAGGTCTAGATGGAACGGCCAAGTCAATCTGACCCAAGAGAGTTTGGGAGTCAACAGTCCCAAGAAGGAGCTTGTGCACGAACATTACGCCATTGCATATTCTGCGATGGTGCAACGACGGCAGGTCAATAAGATTTAGCCTAGACCGGTAGGGTGGCAAGATTCTACCTGAGTCCCAGTTAAAGTTCCGAAGGGCAAAAATTAAAAATTGCTTTTGCACGGATTCAATAACAGCCTGCTGTTCTTTATACTGCGGGCTCCACACACAAGAACAATACTCCAATATAGGACGTACTAACGAGATGTACAGTTGTTTCGTAACGTACGGGTCGTCAAACTCCTTGGACCAACGCTTGATGAACGTTAAAACACCCTTAGCTTTATTAACAGTTGCAGCAATATGGGTGTTAAAACACATCTTATGATCAAAAAGGACTCCGAGGTCATTTGAACTCGAAATTCGTTCAAGGACATGATTTCCTAGAACATATGGGACAAAATGAGGAGCGCGACGGTAAAATGTCATAAGTTTGCATTTGGAAAGGTTCAGAAAAAGAAGATTAGTTGAACACCACAATAGTAGTTCACTTAGATCAAGTTGAAGGCGTGTGTGCAAATACCAATCAGAGTAAGAAAGACAGATTTTGACATCATCAGCATACATTAGTGTAGTAGAGTATGTTATAACTTGAGGAAGGTCATTCACAAATAAAATAAACAGAAGCGGGCCCAGATGACTTCCCTGTGGCACACCTGAAGTAACATTAACAGTATTTGACAACACGTTAGAAAACAAAACACGTTGAGTACGGTTAGAGAGATAGGACAAAATACAATCTAGAAGATTCGTTGGGAACCCTAATAAAGAGAGCTTGTTAATAAGCAGAGCATGGTTCACAGAATCGAATGCCTTGCTGAAGTCCGTAAAAACTACATCCGTCTGCAAACCAATTTGAAAACCACGGTGGATTAGGTTAGAAAACTCAAGAAGGTTAGTCGATGTTGAACGATGTCTGAAAAAACCGTGTTGTGACGGAGATATCAAGCTGCAACAAAGATGTTGCAGTTGCCGGGTGACCAGGAACTCAAGAAGCTTCGGGATGGCGGAAAGCTTTGCGATACCACGATAGTTTTCAATGTTTGATCTTGAACCTTTTTTGTGAAGCGGAATGATATAGGACTCATTCCAAATTACTGGGAGACAAGACTGTTGCAAGGAGAGGTTGAAGAGAAAGGTCAAGGGTTTGCAAAGGGACTGGGCACAGTGTTTTAAGATGCAACTTGGTACCTTATCTGGACCCGCAGAAAACGATATGTCCATAGATGACAAACCTTCCAGAACAATGCTTTCCTCGAAAAAGGGCAGAAAAATGCTGTTAGCTTGAGGTAGCTGGTACGGATACGGAGTGGATGCGTTGTAAATATGAGAGGAGTACGTTGTTTGGAAAAAGTTAGCGAATAAATTTGCAATACCAACAGCAGAAGCTTCTGTTTTGTTCTGGTAATGAAGGGACGGAGGAAAAACGTTTGACTTGCGCTTAGAGTTAACGAACGAATAGAATTTTTTAGGATCACTACGAAAGTTACTACTACATTGTGAAAGGTAATGATTATAACACTGACTATTGACGGCAAGGAACAGAGAGCGAGCGGAGGAGTATAGAGCTAAGGCCAACGTGGAGCCCGACTTCTGGTACTTTTTATAGAGCCGGGATTTATTATTTTTTAAGTATGACAAATACTTGGAGAACCAGGGAGGCTTGGACGATACAGGTACAGTGATATCTGGAACAAATGTATTAAGGGCGGAGTAAATAGAACTATAAAAAGAGTTAACAGTTGCATCTATGTTCGGTAATGAATAAAGAAACGACCAATCAACACGCGAGAGATGTAGATCTAAATCGATAAAGTTTGTTTTGCGAAAACACTTTATGTGACAAGGAGCCATGGAACTGTCAGCACCTCCAGATTGTGTACACTCCAGTGATATCAACAAAGTTGGATGGTAAGGATCTTCAGGGAGAGATATTGGGCTTGCTCTAGATACCGTAGCAAGAGAACCATCGTTAACAAAAACGAGGTCAAGAAGTCTGTCCCTAATGTTTTTAACGGCATTAATTTGGACAAGGGAAATATCCGTTAGCCCATTGATAAAGTCATTATGGCAATTGGGAAACAACAGGTTAGCGTCATCACAAGGCAGCCAAGAAAGAAATGGGAGGTTAAAGTCCCCAATGACAATAATTCGATCATTGCACCCTAATGCAGAAACAACAGTATTAATTGCTGAGAGGTGGTGTAAGTAAAGCTCAGCATCAGACCTGGGAGGAATGTAAGAGCAGGTTAAATAAAAAAATGCGGAGCCGACACGAACTTTGACTGCAACAAATTCAATTCCATGAATGTTATTGAATGGGAATAACTCAGATGAGAAAACAGATTTAACTGCAATCAGAACCCCACCTGCAAAAGATGGGCGGTCCATTCTATAAATAGTGTAACTATCAATGAAAATTTCATGATCATTGACAGAGGAGT